AGATACGAATCCATTGTGAGTGCCATTTTTAGCAAAACTAATATTTTCTTATAATTGTGCGAATACATAGATTCCCCACATTTTTTTCCTTGGTTCTTATTTCTAGATTTCACGGAATTATACCAACGTTATGATAATGAACTATGCCCCCTTTACCATTGGTTTGGTGTAACTCTTCCAGGTCGGAGCTGATCAGTTTGTAATCACAACAGTTGTATACATGCAAACAGGTACGTGCAAATCACTACGAACAAGATTATACATTTTCACACAAGATCTATTTTGCATTCGAGCATGGTTTGTAGCCTCTCTTTCGTGCTATATTAACTTCGTAATAATATTAAATGTAGCGCATATGACTGTTGTTTAAACTTTCAGATCATACCACCTTCAGATATCTTGTTTCAGTAGTGATGGAATTACTACACTTGACGGACTTCTAATTCTGTTGAAAGCTAGAGGGTAAACACAGATCATAAGACAATATAGCCCAGTTAGCTGATGGTGTAACTTATTAGAGGAAAATACTAAAAAGTTCAGTTATGAAAACCTATTCAACCTATGTGCCCCATCGTATGTTTCCTTCTTTTCCTCTTGATAACTGTACTTCCCATTTTTTCTTTTGGTATGCAGGGTATGACCTTGATAAACAGAGATACATTCCTCTGTAGAGACTTGCCTGGGTTCCAAGGCCAATCTTGGTTACCCAGCTGATCTCCTTCCAGCGTCGCCACATTGATGATTGAGTTTCTACCACGGTATAGTGCTAATGGGCAATAGCCATGCTACAAATCTGTGTTTGCTACAGTTTTCTTTCTCAGTTACTATTACCGTAATATTATAGTTCAAACAGAGGACCCCTTCATGTTGCTGCTACCATGAAAACAATCTTTCTTCATGTGCCTTATATCAGATTTTGTTCATACTGAATTGGGAATGCTTTATATTTCATGAGCTTTGGGAATGGCTGGTTCACCAGCCAGGCACGGCAACATTGTGGTTCGTAAGGCAGGTGCAACAATATTAACGATCTTTGCACATACAAGTGTAGCATCCCTTGATAGCACAGGCAAATAGACTGGGTTTGCATGTCTTGACCGTGGTCCATAGCCGTTTTGTATGATACAATTTATTATGTGCCCTCATACTGTCTCAATTCATTTGTTGGATTATTAAAAAATTTGGGAAATGAAATGGCGATGCGTTTGTGATGTTTTTTTCCTACCTCTAACACGCTTACCACACATATTATCTGTAGTTGTTAATTGTACCAATCTGATTTCCTTCAAATTTTACTTTTACTTAAAATAGGTTTGCTAAGCAGGCCAACTTTTATTGGGTTTGACTGGCGATCTTTTCTACATGTTTCAAAATTATATAGGTGGTAGTAAGCAAGTGTATTGACAGTAAGTAAATTTACTGATGAGTTTTAGTTGGTCAAAATATAGATCAGTACAGGATTTGTTCCATAAACTTCCGTATCCTAATAACGATATAACTTTATGTTACATAACTATTATGCTTTACGATCACATTGTTTCGTTATTTTAGCTTCACTAATTCAGTTCTATGTATCCAGACAATTTATCAAATTCTCTACTCCTTTCCGGGAACCAGACACCTGTCAACTAAGACCATTGTGTCTCTTGGTCAAGCGCAACAACTTGCGGCAAAGTCATGGTGCATGCGACACCATCTTGAAGATACAAACGCGTGCAGTTCACGATGGTAACGTCAAACTGCATCAGTTCCTTTTGAGCCACGCGTTGGGGTAGTTTGCGTACTCAATTGAGTTATCCTCTTTTTTTTGGGACCTTGTTTCTTACTCAATCCATCCCAAATTGTAAGACGTTTGATTTTTTTGACACCAAGTTTGACCACTCGTCTTATTCAAAAATTTGTGTAAAATATCACTTTTTTTTGTCGTGGTTTGGTTTATTAATAAAAATTCTTCAAGAATGACTTAAATTTGACTATATTTGCACAAATCTTTTGAATAAGACGAGTGGTCAAACTTAGGGTCAAAAAAGTCAAACGTCTTACCATTTGGAATGGAGGTACTAATCAGACGATGTCGGAAAAGGGCAATGTAACAATGACACTACTTCTGCATAAAGTCTAGGGACTACTGATAGAGCACTAGGACTATTACACAGTCTCCGTGATCGATAACTACTAAAAGACTTGTCAGTATCACCTTGTATGATGTATGCTTATGCACTGCTATCAGTCATTAGAAAAAATGACAAATTATGCACTGCAAGGTTCAATTTCTCGTGTACCCTTACAGCGCGCGCGAGGGCGCGCGCCCTATCCTAGTCTACCAAAGGGAGGGTGCCCGTTTCTTTCCTGCCAAATATTGTAACTAAAGCTAGAAAAAAAAAAGGTTGGTGCTGGCTCGGCTTTGACTCTCTTTTTTAATGAGCCGTGGAAGCATTTCAGCTTGTTTAGTTAATGAACTAGCTCACGACACTAGTGAACAATAAAAAATAAGTGCAAATGCTATGTTATCATATGAAAGAGATTGAAGTCTAAATTTGGTGTAATTTATTGTACTTATTTATTTTAAAGCTTGATGTTTACATGGAACTAATAAGTAGCTATTGTCCTATTGATTATGCTAATATTGTTTACATTTGTTGATGAGCTGGCTCATGAGCTTAATGAGCTGAGTCGGGCTTTAAGTTGTAGCTCATTTCATTATGGAGCCAAGCCGAGTTCGCTCGTTATCCTAACGAGCTGTATCAAGAGCTGGCTTCTTATCCGGCCCTAGTTCCAACTATAGAATACATTGGGAGTTGCCCTAGTCCATCGTGCTCATGTGTTCCCAGCCGCATGTGTTTCCGGTGTGTTCCGTCTTATGTGTTTTTCACATTTCTTTGGCGAACAGCAGTGGAGGCCTGGAGGGTGGTGACAAAGGCCTTGTTTGGATAGGCTTTTTCATAGGAGCCGAAGCTCAAAATGACTCTAGCTCCCCTCTTTTTCACTAAAAAACGGTTACAAACGGCTCCTCCTACTAAACCACCATTTGGTAGGGTTTCTCCAGAGGAGTTGGCTCCTATTCACACAAGGCATACACTGGGTTAGAGGGCCATTGCCTCATGCTCGAGATTTAGAAACTGCGTGACTATATTTAAGGTTAAGGGTCGACAACTCGTGATATGTATGTTTTCTTTTCATCCTGTGCAGCCGTGCAGGCCTTTGAAGTCTGAACACTCTCTCCTTTTGCAACTTCGATTTAGGCTTTGCTGACATTCTGTTGTAGTTGACTCTCTTCCTAGCGTAAAGCTTCTGGTGATCGGGAAGGTCAAATCAGAAGCTAGATTATGTTTTGTGCTACGTGTATAATAAGGGACAGTCATTATCACCGCTATGGCTTCCACCAACTTGAGCCACTGAACCTGCCCGAGCTGCACGAAAGCCGGCTGTTGCTGCTTCCCGCACACGACACCGCCCAGCTCGCTCCGGTGCCCGCACCAGCATCTGCAGCTCGTGCGTGATGCATGCATCTAACCTCACGGAGACGGAGTAACCAGCTCAGCTCATCAAGCAAGCCGATTGTCTCACAGCATGTTGGTATAAAATTACAATGCATCGAGATGCTTGTAAAATACAATTGCAACTTTGCCAGGGGATAATGAAAACAAGTCTCAGAAGCAAAATGGCATCGCCGTGCCGTGTCCCCGACGAGGGAGCTAGACAGTGGCCAACACCTCTGGGCTTAAGCCACAAACAAATGCTGTCAGCGTCAGCAGTGAGCTGAGGCTCGAGAGAACTGACATGAGAATCTCTAGGAACGAGCCTGGCAGTCCATTTCTTACCGGCAATCAACCAAGAACAGGCACAGCAATCAGGGAGTTCAGGTTTAGTTTTACGCCCACTTGCATTGCACGTAGTACGCCAATTGCGAACCGCCCGGGGGCGCGTGATGTCATGTGGCATGTGAGCTCCCGCGTCGTCTCCGCGAGATCTGGGAGGGGTGGGCGCGCGGAATCGGGCGTTGCCCCCGTAAACAAATGGCCGTGGGCGGTTGGCTGGGGCGAGAGGAGAGGCAGCAAGAATCACTGAATCTGTGAATCAGGAGTGCATCACGGATGACATGGCTCCCTCTGCGCGAGCACTCAGCACAAGTATTTGCTGTTCCACCTGCGTCGCAAGGCTGTAAACGCGTGGAGCAGCACAACGCACTAACCCAAAGATATGATCCAGCACACGTCTTCACATGATATTTCATAATCAAAGGTGCTGCAACTGTCAGCAGAACAAGTGATACAGGACGCTCGAGTAAATCAAACACGGCTGGTGTCTAATTTGCCTTGTTCCCAGTGGACACTCATTAGATAGTCCATTTCTTTGCTATGTTTCAAGTATAGGCATCATCTGGTTACTGAATGGCAGTAGTGCACAAAAGGGTCAGATTCAGAATATACGAACTCAATGTTGTGCTGTTTCCTTCTCTCAAAAGGCAACTTCGAATGATCAGTCTTTCGGATCCTAAACTGAATCCTGACGAGTTCAGCTCTGTTTCTTTATTAGCCGCTAATCAGTTCTTAGACGGTTTCCATTGCTGATTTGCTGTGCTGCTGGCTCCTGGTAGGACACCAAACTTAAACACCATAAAAAAATCTATCTGCACACGCTGCCACCGATTGGCGCATGACATCAAACTCACCCGTTGCCGGCGGCACCGCCACCCCGCCCAAATTTTATTCAGCGGGAGACGAAGCAGACGGCGGCAGGTGCACGGTGCACCTGCATGCCGACGACGCGGCACGCCAGCACCAGCCGCAAGTCGTCGTCGCGTTGCATTATTTTTTTGTGCCGTCCAGCACCAGCACCAGCACCAGCAGCGCCCCCAGATCCCAGCGCGGCCAATGGCGCTCGAGTCAACTCCCGAGCCCCGAACACAACCTCCCCCGGTCCGCCATGCCTCCGCCACGCATCACGTCTCCCAGTCCCTCAACCCAATGCCATGAGCGCGCCGATCCGCGGGCGCACCGATGCTGACGCGTCTCCACCTCGCCGTCCTGCTCCTCCTCGGTGTCGCCTCGAACCGAGCGCGCGGCGGCAGGGTCGCCACGGAGGTCGTCACCCCGGACTTCACGGCGTCGTACCTGCTCTTCCAAGACAGCTACGGCGCGTTCCTCGCGTCACCGAGCGGCGCGTTCCAAGCCGTGGTCTACAACCCGGGGGACCAGCTGGAGCGGTTCTACCTCGCCGTGCTCCACGCGCCGTCCAAGACCTGCGTCTGGGTCGCCAACCGCGCCGCGCCCATGACCGACCGCGCAGCTCCGCTGCAGCTCACGGCCAAGGGGATCTCCATCGAGGACCCCAACGGCACGACCATCTGGTCTACGCCGCCGTTCGGGACTCCCATGGCTGCGCTCCGGCTCGACGACCACGGCAACCTCGCGCTGCTCGACTCGAGGAACGCCACGCTGTGGCAGTCCTTCGACCGCCCCACCGACTCGATCGTGTCGTCGCAGCGGCTCCCCGCGGGGGCGTTCCTGGCGTCCGCCGCGTCGGACTCCGACTTCTCCGAGGGGGACTACCGGCTCAACGTGACGGCGGCCGATGTGCTGCTCACGTGGATGGGCTCCATGTACTGGCGGCTCTCGAACGACGCCAGCTCGACCGTGGACCGAAGCGGCACCGTTGCGTACATGGCCGTGAACGGCACCGGGCTGTACCTGCTCGCGGCGGACGGCGGGGTCGTCATCCAGGTTTCGTTGCCTGAAGCCGAGCTGCGAGTTGTTAGGCTGGGATATGATGGGAAGCTGCAAATCGAAAGCTTCGCGTCGGCGAACTCATCTAACTCGCCGATGGACGGCGGGTTCGTGGCGCCGAGCGACGGATGCGCTCTGCCCCTCTCCTGTGGCGCGCTCGGGCTCTGCACGCCCAAGGGCTGCACGTGCCCACCCTCGTTCGCGGCGTCGCGCGACGGTGGTTGCGCGCCGTCTGACGCCTCCGCCCCGCTGTCCGTCTCCTCCTGCGGCGGCACTGGTGGCGGTGGCAATAACAGCTTGCCGGTCTCGTACCTCAGCCTTGGCAATGGCGTCGAGTACTTCGCTAACAAGCTGGCGCCGCCGACCGTGTCTGGCGACAACGTTTCCTCATGCCAGACTCTGTGTACCAGCAACTGCTCTTGCCTCGGTTACTTCTACGATGACTCGGCTTTGTCCTGCTACTTGGTGCAGCACCAGCTCGGTTCCTTGATGAATGCCGACTCCACTAAAACCTCCGACAAGCTCGGCTACATCAAGGTCCAGAGCTCGCAGCTATCGAGACCATCGAGCAATTCGTCCTCAAACAGCACCCTCATTGCCATCCTCCTCCCAACAGTGGTCTCGTTTGTGCTCATCGTCGTCGTCAGCGCCACCGTGATCAGGGCGTGGCGTAAGGAAGTGGGGCGCTCGTCGCGCTCCAGGGACATGCAGCTCCGGCGGCAGCGCTCGCCGTCGGACTCAGCGCACCTGGTGCGGGATATTGACGACGACGACGACGACGACATCGTCATTCCTGGCCTCCCGACCAGGTTCACGCACGATGAGATCGAGGACATGACCAACAGCTTCCGCATCAAGATCGGCGCCGGCGGGTTCGGCGCCGTGTACAAAGGCGAGCTCCCGGACGGCTCGGAGGTGGCCGTGAAGAGGATCGAGGGCGTCGGGATGCAGGGCAAGCGCGAGTTCTGCACCGAGATCGCCGTCATTGGCAACATCCACCACATCAACCTCGTCCGCCTCCGCGGCTTTTGCACCCAGGGCCAGCGCCGCCTCCTCGTGTACGAGTACATGAACCGCGGCTCCCTCGACCGGTCGCTGTTTCGGCCCACCGGCCCTCTGCTAGAGTGGAAGGAGCGGATGGACGTCGCCGTCGGGGCGGCGAGGGGCCTGGCGTACCTCCACTTCGGCTGCGACCAGAGGATCATCCACTGCGACGTCAAACCGGAGAACATCCTGCTCGCGGACGGCGGCCAGGTGAAGATCGCCGACTTCGGGCTCGCGAAATTCCTCACGCCGGAGCAGTCCGGCCTCTTCACGACGATGAGGGGCACGCGCGGGTACCTCGCGCCGGAGTGGCTCAGCAACACCGCCATCACCGACCGCACCGACGTGTACAGCTTCGGAATGGTGCTCCTGGAGCTGGTGCGCGGTCGCAAGAACCGCAGCGAGCACGTAAGCGACGGCGGTGGCGAGGGCTCCAATTCCTCGAACGGGACAACTGGCAGCTCGTCGCGCGGCGGCAAGAGCGACTATTTCCCGCTCGCCGCCCTGGAGGGGCACGAGGCCGGGCACTACGCGGAGCTGGCCGACCCTCGGCTACAGGGGCGGGTGGTTGCCGAGGAAGTGGAGAGGGGGGTGAAGGTGGCGCTGTGCTGCCTCCACGAGGACCCACACCTGCGGCCGAGCATGGCGGTCGTGGTCGGCATGCTGGAGGGCAGCATGGCGCTGTGGGAGCCGCGGGTGCAGTCGCTCGGGTTCCTCAGGCTGTACGGCGGGGGGTTTTCTGGGCCAGCGGACGGCGGAGGCAGCGACATGAATCTGAAGCATATGGCGTCCCCCATGGGCCGGTCAGGGACGACGACGTCAACGACGGTGAGCGGGTGGCCGTCGTACCTGTCGTCATCTCAGCTCTCCGGGCCGAGATAGCGAAGAATGGGCACGGAATTCTTTCTAGCTTAGAGTGTACTCCGACGAATCCATTCTTGATTTTGTTCCATGGTAGTAGAACAAAGGAATTTATCTTTGTATCTACGAGGTATTTGGTCCAAATCACCTCGATTTTGTTGCATTGCCTTTTGGTGGATTGGTTTTTCCATCGGAATGGACGGTGGAGAAGCTGAAATCCGTTGATGTTGTACGCAAAGGTTTTGCACGTCCTCTTTTTGAATTTCAACTCGTTTCGTATCTGAACATTCGAATATCCAGCGTAACTCATAGCCGTACTCATTCTCTCCTGACCACCTATGGACCAATACCAAATGCGTGCTCTCTGCGTTTGGAAAATGATAGAAACCTCCTTGGAAATACGAATGGCAGCTGGTCGGGTAAGGTACGGGCAAAGCATTTATCCATCCGCGATCATACCCGTGACCCTCACTTTACCCGCCTGCAAGCATGTCCGTGGATAAGAATTCATACCCGCGCATGTTGGGATTGGGTATCAGGTACCCGTCGGTTATTTTCATAAGAGATCAAATAATAAAATCACAGTGACAGGATAATAATAAATTGTAGTTAAATAACAAATAAATCCGTCAATCTTACTTACCTAGAGTTCACTAGAACAATATACATTAGCTCACAAGTGACCATACAATATAGGTTCATAATTCAGTGCCATACTCATACAAATAATACAACGCAAGAACTAAAGTGACAACTAACGCCTTATTACACAATCACTTATTCAACTATTCATGAAAAATAGCATCCTCAGAGATCGGTGACCATACTTCAAGCTAATAGATCAATGATGGCGGACTGAATATATCATACTAACAACAGAAATTTTTTTTGGCTAAACCAAATTAAATGGACTAGTTGGCATTGCTATACAATAGATCTGCATATATATGTATTTTAAAATTGCCTGGTAAATTTTGTACCCGCACCCTACTCGCACAGCTGCTGGTGCCTGACCCTCATATACCGGGCGATAAAATTTTTTCTAGCTATACCCGCACCTATCGAGTACGAAACCCGTTGGTACCCGCACCCGCACCCGCACAGGTAAAATGGCCATCCCTACTTGGATGATGGACCGATATTTACAATAGTAGGTCGATGAATCGAGTGTAACTTGCTGTGAATCGTGGGGTAACTAGCTTTTTAGCTGTCAATATTAAAGGCATGTTGCTTTTTAGCTGTCAATGTTAAGGCATGTTTCTAATGGATTGTGAAGCAGCTTTTGAAGTTGTTTTCCACCTTCAACCACCAAACATGTCTTTTGGCACTAGCTTTGGCGTGAAACTTCACAAATCATGTTCTCACATGGAGCATCTCCAAGGTTTCCTAAATATTCCTCCTAAAAATTCCATATTTTCCAACTCCTAAAAAGATATTGGGAGAAAAAAAGAAGGTCATCTTTAATAGTTCCTAATATTTCACTTCTAATAAATAAATTTTGGTCTCACTTAAGTTTTTTTTTGCGTTACTTTTTTTTCCGTGGAAAACTGTTCGTGATCGCCCATACATCCGCCGCCGCCGCCTCCTTATTTCGTGTTGCCGTAGCCCTGCACCTCCCAGCCGGGGTTGGCCTCCTCCCAGCAGGCCGTGGCCACACACACAAAACAAAGTGTGGCACACTTAGTTTGTTCCGTACTTCCATCTCCCTCTTCGACTATAGCTTCACTTGGACAGCGACATCCTGGGACTGGAAAGCTGCGAGTGCCGCCTTACCCTCTCCAGTGCCACCTTGCTCGGTGACGAGGCACTCGGCTTGTCCGCGAACGCCTGGGACAAACGCTTCTTGGCCGAAGACGGTGAGGGAGGCACTTGTAGAGGCGCTAGCGCTGGACCGCTCTCGGGAGCGTCAAACATGTCAGAAGTGGCCAACACCGTCGACGGGCTCGGGCATCTGACGACCTTGGCCCTCACGGACTTTGTTGGCTGCATGTAGATGGGGGTCACCGGCGCGCCCTCGTCGTCTCCCATGGAAGCGGCCGCGATGCGCTTCCCAGGCTCAGCCTTCTTGGGAGCTCCGCCCGCAGGCTCGTTGTGCGCCGCAGCGGGGTGTCCTTGGCGCCCAGGCGCGGGCTGCTCATCCCGCGGTCCTGGCTGCTCCGCGGGCGACGCTCGAGTTGCATGGTCGTCGCGCCACTCGATGTGTGGAGCGGGCTGCTGCTTCCGCTGCCCCTGGGGCTCGCCGGCACGGCGCGGCGCGGGCTGTTTACCGCGTCAAGACGGGAGACCGCGCGGGAGGCAACGATACTCGCGATGTCTAGGGCGCGTAACTTTACGTGGATCGAGAGAGTTTTTCTGGAGCGTTAAAAAATTAGGAGGATGTATTAGGGGTTGTTGGGGAGGATTTTTTTTTCATCTTGCTAAAAATCAAGGATTATGAGAAGATTTAGAGAACTCTTAGAGATGCTCTAAGGAACTGTTAGTGAAACTAAAATATCCGCTTAATCCAACTTCCCCTAGGCCGGCGCGAAGAGGGGACATCAGGCCAGGCTGCCAAAGCACGAGGAGCAATGTCACCAAGGGTAAGGCAGACTCGTCGTGCCGCACCCGCGCATGGTGGGAGCAGGTGCGGACTCGCTGGGGCGGCCGAGCATATAGCCGCTAGGGGCATAGGGCGCAGAGTCTCATTGGGACGCCAAGCACATGGGCGGGTACGGGACACAAGGTCAAGGGTGGGGTGAGAGATGAGATGGAGCTTGGGGCAAGGCGGGGGACCAAACAGATAAGGAAGAAAAGGTTAAGAAATAGAGAGAAGTGAAAAATAAAGGGAAAAGGAGGATATTTTAGTCACTTTATCAATTTTGTCTATCAAGAGAAACTATTTTATCAAATGGTTCATCAAAATAGTTTCAACTTCACTGATAGGGCTGCTCGTGGGATTGAAGTACTTGGCTTGTTTAGCTCACAGACTAGCTTGTGGGTCGGCTCGAGCTAGCTCATCTAGTACCACCTAAAAAATATGAACAGCTTTCGTCAAAAAAAAAAGTTTCGTGTGCACGCCTCCAGACTCGACTCCGACTCCAGTCCGATACGGGTGCTCTCGCCAAGAAAAATTGAAATTGCTAGCAGCGGGCGAGCGGTGCGGCGCTTGTGGGCCTGCACGCAGACGTTCAGCAGGCTTGCTTTGCAATTGATGAATGACATGGCATGCGGTTCCTTTACCATTATTTGAAAGGATCTTGGTTCAGTTTAACGTATTCGGTGCGAAATTTTTGTTCATATCTATGGCGGCGGATTTGTAGAAAATCTCTACGCCTAAAAAAAACTCTAAAGTAATCATTTAGCTGGTGACACAAAAAACGTATACTATCCTGTCACAAAAACTAAAAAAAATATACCAAATATGTATACCATCCGACCAAATACATAGCCAATTCTGCACAGTTTGTGACTTCGCATCAGAAACGGTCGGCACTCTGCAGTCTCGTCAGGACGATTGGCAGCCTCACATTATTCATAATTCCAAAGACATGCAACATGTTTGGTCGTAAACGATCGTGGATTATTTACTGCTGGCTGGTTTAGTGTGAGAGAAAAATACTATTCCAACTTATAATCCACGATCGTATACGAGCAAGCGAATATGCTGATGTACGGGCTGGGCTTATCAGTTTAATTATTCAAAAGACACGAATGGGTGTACCGAGATCATCACAACATCCGGCGCCCCTCCTCCCAATCTCCTAATTAATACAAAAAATTACTTTTTAACATGTCCATACTATTTTTAAAATAAATACAACACACATTCATTCTTAAATTACCATATTATTATTTTGTTTCCGTGCAACGCACGGGTATTTATCTAGTTAACTTTAAAATGTCAGCTCAGCTCGTTAGGAAAAGTAAACGAGCCAAGTCCAGTCTAGCTGAGATAGATTAAACAATATATGAGACTTTAGTAAAACCTAAATAAAAATCAACTAAAATTAGTATTACTTGTCCTCTTCTTCCTAGTTAGAATTGATATGATTTACAATAATTAGCACCTCCAGGGCACATGTCGGTTCTGGTTTCGATCGTCAATGAAGGGCGTGATTGGTTGCTCCGATGTCAGCGGTCCGGGACGGTGGCCCTGTCCAGGCTCTTCCGAGCCGGCATAAAAGCATTCACCCACCTTTGTTTGGTTTGGTTTAGCTTTAGCTTAGCTGTCCTGGATGACATTGATTCTGTTTGGTTGCCCCCATTGATCGTTTTGCTGTATGAAGTGGTGGTAGCGTTTGTGTTTGGTTGGACGCAAGGCCTGGGTGCGAGCACCCGTGTACCGTTTTGGTATGGTTACCACCTGCTATTGCAGAACGAAGAAGAATAGAGGGAAACAGAGATAACTTTGCCTCAGTTCAATAAGCTTGACATTGACAATGATCTTGGAGCTTCTAATGACATAAGTAAACCTGACAATAGTACTCCCACCAAATCATGAACAACAAAAGTCACAGTTTGTCACAAGGTCATTGTCTTTACACGTGTTCATGGTATTTTGAAACCATCAGATGCAATATGAAACAATTAGAGACACCTACAACAATGCTTATCAATGAAAAAGACAAGCACCATCAAAAGAAACGACTGAACTAAAGCAATAGCCAGTAACCAAGGTATTTTAGGGCTTGATTGGTTGCCCGAAGCACTACAAAGAGGTTTCACAAACACTTGTAGCAGCAGTTTGCAAAACCAGATACCTAGGCATAGCATGTAGGCCAGGTTGCATAGACCACAGGCTCCTTTCCCCGATAGACAACATATCAAGCCATGTGCCTCTTAAAAACACACATAAAACCAAGTATAAGATGTTGATAAGATGAGGGTTAGTTCAATCGATTTGCCTCAGATTTAATTGCTATCTCATTTGACCTTGCACTTGGAACTTAAGGAACATAGACAGCGGCAAACCTCAAACAGATAGTACAAACCCAACATCATGACAGGCAACGAACCATAAGTAGAAGATAGAAGAAATAATCCTCCAGTACCTCACAAGTCCAAGGTCATCAATTTTTATAATTCATTACCCAAACCGGCACTGTTATCATCATAGGCATGAAAAAAAATCTCACAATTGTATCAGTCTCAGTCAAGATAGAAATTAGAAACAATGTAGGCCTCAACTAACTGCAAACAAACTTGAGAACATATGCAATCATCCCAGGTGGCAAATAAGAACACAAATATGGAGAGACAAGTTCATAGCTGCCATGGAAGCGTGTAACACAATAAAGCAGCAACATTCCTCAGCTCTCCTACTGCATATAACACCTTCTGGAAGAACCTACTAATTGTCTCTGCGGATCTCCTGAAGATGAGGTCAACCACCCTAAACCTCTCATTGTGACCAACAATATGCAAGAACATGGCTACTTGTTTTTCAACAGATGCATGTATGCTGTCAGTAACAAGCTCTCTACTACGGAAAATGTCACAAAGTTAGAAAAAAGGGGCCCTCTTTATTCTAAGAAGGTTAACACAGTGCACATCATCAGATTCATAGATGTATCTAAAGTTGTTCATCCTCTATTTGTCCTTCTCAGCCATGGGACCACAGGTGACTGAGATGGAATCTTCAACTCTCCTCCTAAACCATATGAAAAACCAAGCAGCCACTGCAACAACCATAGCAGCGGCAGCCCTGCGCCTAGCTTCAAAGGCCATGTCTACCAACAGGATGGAGGGCAACATTAAAAGGGAGCATGAATATAGGTGTGTACTGCTTAGCAAGCAAAGGCGCAGCTGCCACACCAAAGGGTGCTCCTCCAGCGTATACTATTACACAATCAACATCATTGACCTCTAGGCACTTTGCTCAGTGTGTACAATAAAATAGGCATCAACATATACAAGATTTATAGAAAACATGAGGTATACACCAAATACGAAGCATCATGTACAGATCTGTGGCAAAACCGCCCGAAATAACATGCTTACAGAGGTGCTCGTCTTCCACCAGACACTAAGCACTCCGAAAGCAAGCTACAGCGGGCAGTATCCGTCGGGCACACCCCAAGGGAAAACCCGAAAGATCCACATTTTTCCTAAGGATCCAATAATGAGAACGAGTTACAATACTTGTCCATTTCATACATCAGAGTTTCTTAAAAGTACATTATTACAATACCAAATACCAGAGTGCGGAATGATAACAGCGGAATTTAAAAATAACATCTAGCAGTAAGGGGCGAGGATTTCGTCTGAGCCCACTAGAAGGATCCTCCACACAAAGGTACTCCTCAAGCATCACCTACAACAGGGGTAAATAAACCTTGAGTACACAATGTACTCGCAAGACTTATCCGACTAGTGGGAATAATTTTCCGACTCCAAGGAATATGATAGGCTTATGGTTTGCTGGTTTCCTTTAGCAGAAAACAATACTAATAGTGAGTCCTTATTTATGTCTTCTTATTATCAGCCGTATTAAGTTATCATCTAGCCAGTCTATATAAGCACATGTTCTACTTTCAAGCAAGAGTTGAGCAATCAATTCCATTTCTTCTCCTTTCACTTTCAGTTCTTACTACGGTACTAAACACGAGACAAGCCATACCGGATCGTCCGGTGATTCACGAATCAATGTGCCTAGCTGAGTGCCTAAAAAACACACGCCCCGCTTATACCCCAGGCACAAGCAGGACTAACCCATCACTCTCCTGTCCCGTGTGTCCAGGTCCCCGTCCAAACTTAGACTCCAAGCCCCCACTCCTGAGTCCCGGACTCAGTGTGGTGCAAGGACCTCCACCACCTCCTCTTCCCATCAGTCGGTCCGGAAAGAGACGGATCCACGACAAGAGAGCAACAAGTCTTCCCTGCGCCCATACCCAAGTATGCGCTCGGGATAATAAATCTATGGCTTGCCCACGATGCCTTATGAAACGACCTGTCCTTAATCGACACGGACAGGGAAAAAGTGTAACCGAGCTATGCCCTGTTGGCCGCAGGACA